CTCCAATCCAAAGTCTAACACAATAACAGGCTAAACACCCCTACCTAAACGTACTGTTGGAAGGAGTCCAAGTTTATTTCATTAGATGCTTGAAGACGGGGTTTCTCATTTGTTCACATAAGACACCTTTGGAAGTGAATAAATACCTTCCTGTTCCTCTCTAGTATCTATTTCTGCAATTTGAAACTTAACATTTAAAGTGTGCCTTTTTGAATGCAACACAGCCTACTCCAAAGGCACCTCCACACCCATGTTTATTGCAGTACTATTCACAATAGCCAAGTTATGGAAACAGCCAAGATGCCCCACTACTGACAAATGGATCAAGAAAATGTGGTACTTGTACATAATGGAATTTTACTCAGCCATGAAGAAGAATGAAATCTTATCTTTCACAAGTAAATGGATGGCACTGGAGAACATCATTCTGAGCAAGGTTAGCCAGATTCAAAAGACCAAAAATCGTATATTCTCCCTCATATGCGGACTTTAGATCTAGGGCAAATACAGAAATGTGGTTGGACTTGAGTCACATGACAAGGGGAGAGCACATACGGAAGGTATGGGAATAGGTAGGAAACCCAAAATATGAAAGCGTTTGATGTCCCCAGTGCAGAGGAACTAATACACAAACCTTAAAGTGACAGAGGTCAACATGAGAAGGGGATCAGGAACCAGTGTAAAGATCAGTTAGAGGTGAATCAACTTGGGTTGTAACACATTTGGACATGAAAGCAATGCTAGGAATCTCTCTGTAGAGCTGTCCTTATCTCAACTAGCAAAAACACTTTGTCTTTCTTTTTATGCTTATGTATTCTCTTTAACAAAATTAGTGATAAGGGCAGAACAGTTTCTGCCTAGAAGCGAGGGGGGTGGAGGGGAGAGGGTAGGGGCGGGAAGGAAGGGGGAGAGATGACCCAAACAATGTATGCACATGTGAATAAATGAATAATAAATACATAAATAAATAAATTGTGCTGTTTTTTCACCATAATTTCATTCTACACATAGGATCCAAGATCACAGAAAATTTGTTTGCAAGATCATTTGCTTAGTTCATCAAACTTTATTTCTGCTGCTCTTCCCACCATTTGACTCCACCCTCTCACTCAGCTGTCCCCTGCTGCTGCAAAGTACAGTACACAAAATGTTCTCTGTTCTCTGCTGTCTGGTACACTAAATTGTCTATTCCTCAACAGGACATTCCTGGAAACCTCTGGGAAGAACTCTCCAGAAATGCACAGGCCCTGAGAGACTGATGTCTTGGGCAAACTGAAGGAAACAAGGGAAGCCATGTTGGAGGGAGACACAGGCTTGATGCCAGGAGACCATGGATATCTGCTGCTACCTTTGAGCTTTATGCTAAGTATAATAACATCTTGTAGGGAAAAGTAAGAATTAGTTCTTGTTTTTACTGAGTACTGCTTAGTGTGTCTTGCCTGCTGCACATGGAAGTGTGGAAGCCATCATCATTTCTGTGCCAGCTAGACTGTTAGATCTTTCATCCTCAGAAATCATCCTCTGAATTAAATTATATTAGTAATATAATATAATTAGTAATATAATTTAAACATCTGAATATTCAGTTCCAAATAACTATACAGGATCCAATCATTATTTGGTTAATTAAAAATAATGATATTATATACACAGAATTCTAATTTTGCCAGCCTGTCAATAGGTTGACCTGAAATCGACAAACTCTCTCCCAGATATTCAGCCAAACAAAAATTCAGTTTCTTATTAACAAAATATTGCATTTGTAATGAAACTTTAAGAAGAGGAGATTTTCTGAGTAGACCTGACCTAATCATACAGCTCTTAAAAATCTGAGTCGAAGAAAGGGAATTTGGAAGGATTCAGGACATGAAAAGGATTAGCTTGGAGGGCATTCTCTAATGCTGGCTTTGGAGATAAAGTGAGCCCTGTTTGAGGGGAGAATGAAGCTTCCAGGAGCTATGAGCTGACAACCAGAAAGGAAATGGGATCAGCCCGACAACTGCCAGAAACCAAATCTACCACAATCACTTGAGCTTAGAATAAGACTCTGAGCTTCACGTGAAGTTCTGACCACCTCACTCCTCAATTTTAACTCTGAAAAACCCAGACAACCCAACCATCCCATTCCTAGATTTCTGAGGTAGATGCCTCTGAGCTCATGAGTTGTTAAATTGATGGTCTTGTTACTCAGCAATACAAAACTAGTGGAGCTATCAATGAGTCACAAGTTAAGGAGAGAACCAGAAATCTAAATAGCTCATAGTTAAGTTGATTCTGAATTCTCTAGCTTGAGCTGTAACGTGGTGAAGCTCTGCCCTTTTTCTACTGCAGATATTTTCCTAGCTTGTGTCCATACCCACTCAATCAGCACTGAATTCTGTACTACAAAAATACATATAAAGGGCCAATCATGGTGGCCTATGCCCATAATACCAGCTACTTGAGTAGCAATTATAGTAGGATCATGGTTCAAGGGCAGACTGGGCAAAAAATTAGTGACATCCCGTATCAAAAAACAAGTGTACAACATGGCCCATGAGTGCAATTTCAGCTATGCAGGAGGCAGACTTAGGAGGATTGCAGTCCAAGGCCAGGCCCAGGCAAACGTATGAGACACTGTCTAAAAAATATAATGAAGTTAATAAACTGGGTGTTTCCCGCTGTGCCTTTAAGATAATGGTAAAGGTATTCCAAACAGTACAGAAACCTGAGTTCAAAATTGCCAGTATCTTCCTGTTCCTGGCACTGACCATAGGCTATGAGTCCCAATCATACATATTTCAATATTGTGTAGTGTGTATATCTATGTACTTTTTTTGTGGCAAACACGGGTTATTAAACTCCCAAGGGTCTTGAGCAATACAACTAAGCCAGTGGCAATCTGCTGACTTGGGCCATACCCACACCTTCTTTCTTTTGTTTTAAGTTAAGAGTGCTCTTTGAAGGGTTATATTCACTCGTGCTGGCCTGAATCATGGCTCTAGATATACTAGATGTGCTTACCTCCCTTCAGCATAACAGTCGGATTACAGGCATGTGCCATCATCTCCCATCTCCATCAGATGTATCTGAGAACATCATGGTCCTCTCCACTTTCGTCTTCATAAAATATGTTCTGTGACAGTTGAAGGAATCTCTGGCAAGGTGTTCTCTAAAGGGACGAAGGGAAGACTCACAGATGATACTTGAAAAACCTGAAAAGCATGCTCCATGTGACTGCTGGGTTCACGCCATACACAATTCATGTTCCTTTGACTGTGGTACCTACACACAATTTTCAGTATGTGATCTTTATTGTATTCTAAGCACAGTGGTGGATTATGTTGTGTTAATTCCTTTAAAAAAAAAGTTTGATCCATTGACTATTTTCTTTCTATTGAACATACCTATTACTGACATGTAAGCCCTAAAGTGCAGATAATTTCCTGAGTGTCAAAACCACCTAGAACATTACTTGATATTTAATTTGGATATGAATTGTCTCTTAGAATAGGATTATGTCCTATTGAATAGTACTTGGTCCCCATCTGGCTAAAATCCAATCACTGAGATGGTGAATAGGACCATGAAGACTAGCCCTAACCTCTAATATCCATGGGTTTACATCCTTGACAAATCATGCCCTATCTTTTTCGAGTGGCACTTTATGAAGGAGAGATTCAGAAAGTCGAAGGGTGCAGTATTTAATGTACAGGAGGTAAGAACGAATGCGGTTTAGCGTCTCTTTCGCAAAACTAAGAGTGGACCCTTTGATAGGCTATAAAAGCCATCCTCCCTTGCTAGCTCGCCTGTCTTTCTCTGCTTTTCCAGTATGCATGAATGGTTAAGCTACTTTCTTCCTGCTGCTTTTTCCACAAAGATTTCTTCTTGCCAGACCTAAAAGCAATGGCGCAACCTGACATTTGGAGTGAAACCTTGAAACGTGAGCCAAACAGCTCTTTCCTTCCTTTAAGTTATTAGCCTCAGGTGCTTGCCCACATGTACAATGAAAAACCTTAACTAACAACAGTTGGTACAGCCTCACACCACCTTCCATGTCATTCCCTACGGAATAATCATTACTTAACACACAGAACCCTCCCATACATAAGAGGTACAGCTCTGTTCAACTATCTGTGATATTTGCACCCTAATCGTAAACACCGTTTCACAAGGGCCCATATTCTACAAGCGTACAGGTCAGATTCAACTGTGCTGCTTTCCAGTTCTCAAAACACTATCACCCATGTGTGTATTAGATTCTTGTTTTCCTGTTGGTATCCTCATATCCCAGTCTGGTCTAGCCCAACAGTGGGTGCTTGTATTAGTTATTTTTAAGTGAATACATGAATGAAATAAGAGAGCACATTATTTCCATAGGGACACAAAGCTTTTCCCAAATACTGAATTCTATCAATTAATTTGAGATCTAGAGACTGGAAAGTAGTCTGTTGAACACAAAATCTTGTCCATAAATACTATGCATTTATATGGAATTATGTTCCTTGGTGTTCACATTTGGAAATCATATACAGAGACTTCAATGGCAACATAACCCCAGACAAAGGGTGAAACAGATACTATACTTGCTGTGAAGATGGAAAAAAAATGGCCATCCACCAAGGAATGCCATTGAACTCTAGGAGCTGGAAAGATGACACATATTTCTCTCGTAGAACCTCCAAATAGGGATGCAACTTCCCAAAATCTTGATCTTATTCCTCCGAGTCCTGTGTTTGATTCTGTTACCCAAAGCTGTAAAATGATTGATTTCTCATCTTCAAGCCAGACTTTGTAGTAAAATGTTAGTTACATATATAATAGAAAACCAATAGAGTTTACCACCTGCATTTTATACAGACTTCTGATGCAAAGTATCAAAGAGACACTGAACCCCTTCATTTTCTTTGGAACACTGTATGCCTTCTCATCTCAAGCTATCATGCAGATGGAGGTAGTGTGGTATCCCAGGGCTGTGTGGGATGCGAGCAGCTGATGAGTCTCTTAGAGGAAATTTATGTTCAAGGCTGAAGCACTGTGTGAGGAGCATTGTAACCCTGCTGACAGTAGTAATCTGCCACATCTTCAGCCTGGACGCTGCTGACGGTGAGAGTGAAATGTGTTCCAGACCTACTGCCACTGAAGCAGCCAGGGATTCCAGATTTCTGGGTTGATGACAAGTAGATGAGACATTTAGGAGGCTGTTCTGGTTTCTCCTGGCACCAGGCCAAGTAGTTCTGGTTGCAGCTCAATAAAAAACCTTGGTGGATTTGCAGTTGATAGTAATGCTCTCTCCAGCTGACACAGTCAGGACATTTAGATGTCCCCACAGACATCTGTACTCAGTAAAGTATAATGATCATATGTCCATACATACATAGACTCTATAATATAAATATTGAAACATGTCATCTAAAATGTCATTTCTAATGATATTATGTCAATATATTATTGGGCTTATATAAAAACTACTCATTATATCTAAATAGATCCTTTAATTTTATTTCTACATAAATATTATTATGAAGAGGTTGTGACATTTTTAAAGTTCTCACCAGAGACCCAGAGCAACAGGGACATGAAGACCTGGTCTGGAACATCATCTTGCTTTCTCTGCCTGCTTGATGCAGCTCAGTTCTCAGTGCAAAGACATCATTTACAAATTCTGAGCAACTTGACTGGGCCTGAGATGCTATGCAAAGCAATCAGAAAATAAGGAAGCAAATTACCAAAGTAGTGAGTTATGAAAGTACTGATATAAATCAAGAGGCAAAAATATCATCATGGAAATAATATTCTGCCACTACAAAAGACATAGAAGTAAACTGAGAAGCTCTGAAGTTAACTTAGAAACTCTAAACCAGAAACCAGTAGATTCTCTAACAAAGACCTTTAGTTTTAAATCAGAAATGTATTTAAATTGTTTGAGTTTTACAGAAATTATAGGTGAATTATCTCAGATAATACCAATGAAATGAAAAAATGCTAAAAACAACAAAAGAAAAAAATAAGGTAAAACAAGAATAGGAAAATTAAATAAATTATACTCAGCATTATGTGTAAAGTAGGAGGAAACTAAAAAAAAATAAATAAATAAAGCATCACAGCCTAGTTCAGGTTTGGAAATCTGTAATTCCAGCAGGTAAGAGGCTGAAGCAGGAAGATCATGTGTTTGAGGTCAGCCTGGGCTACATAACAGCACCACATCCTGTCTCAAAAAATAAAATAAACAAAATAAAACTAAAATATCATTAATCAACTAGACATAATCTGTAACAACTCAAGAGTATTTTCTCTTGCTTTGGTGATGATACTAGGTATTGAACTCAGGGTCTCAGGCTTGCCAGGCAGGGCTCTACCACTTGAGCCATGTTTCTAGCCCAATTCTGAATATTTTATAAACAACGCAAATTATGAAACTGATCTGGAAATTTTAGTCCTCAGCCAGAAATATTATTAACAAATATTTACATTAATTTTTCCATTTAACAAATATAATCTTCTTTGCCCCAAACAAATTTATGAAACTATATAAAGTTTTAAAATAAATACTTATAATTGGATTCATATTTAACCATAATATTAGAAAGTATGTGGTTTGAGGAAGTTCATAATCCTCAAAGCCAAAAATATGAAAGACTAGTAAATTTGCTCAAGTCAGTTTCTAACAAGTTCTCACATCCTCTAGACCTTTTATAAACTTTACAATTTTGTTTTGTGGCTGCTGCAAAGAACTCAAATTTGTTTCATTCATTCATTTGCTACTGCTTATTCAAATTAGGCAAATGAAGAATAGAGGTTTTTTATTCATTTATTCATATGTGCATACACTGTTTGGGCCATCTCTTCCCCCTGCCCCCTACCCCTTTCCTCTCTCCCCACCCCTCCTCACTTCCAGGTAGAACCTGTTCTACCCTTTTCTCCAATTGTGTTGAAGAGAAGACATAAGCAATAATAAGAAAGACATTGTGTTTTTCCTAGTTTGAGATAAGTATAGCTATGCAGAGAGATTCCTAGCATTGTTTCCATACACAAGTGTGTTAAAACCTGAATTGATTCATCTCTACTAGACCTCTTCACTACTTCCTGGTCACCTTCCCATTGTGTCTGCTGTCGTTTTAAGGTTATTATATTAACTCCTCTACAGTGGACACATCAAACACTTTCAAGTTTTGGGTTTCCTAACTTTCCCTATTCCTCCTGTAGGTGTTCTCCCCTTAGTGTGTGACCCATGTCTAATAATATTACTGTATTTGTTTTAGGTCTAAAGTCTGCATATGAGGGAGAACATAGGATTTTTGGCCTTTTGAGCCTGGCCAACTTCACTTAAGATGATGTTCTCCAGTTCAAGAAAAGCTGAAAAGACCTATTTCTTACCGTGTTTAAAGAGAACAAACAGACTTAAAAGAAATGTCTTTCTTTTTAACAAAGGAAAATACAAGAATATTCCTATTTTTTCCCATGAACCACATTTCCGCAATGTACAATGGTGCATTAGATTCCTTGTTCTGTTAAAAACCTATCACAAATTTGTTGACTGAAAACAGCACCTATGAAAACTCTCACATCTTTAGAGGTAGGAAGTCTGAAATTATTGTCCCTGACCGGTTCTGACCCAACACCCTTTATCACAACAATCGTCTTGAATGAAAACTCAGGAGAAGGTCAGTCTTTGATCCAAATTACCTTTAGGAACTAAACGGATGCTTTTCTTCTTCTTGTACTGACACATGGAATCTCCTTTTAAAACTAGATTAGTGACTGTGGCTACCCAAAACCCATGACAAGAAAGAGGATAGATATGGAAAGGATTTTTCTGTGATTCATCAGGAAAAAAATCACATGAAATGATTCCTTATCCATTCTGTCCAATAAACCAGGGAATTCTTCCCTTAAGAAATGTTTGACAGATTACCACCCTCACTGCTGCCACCCAGAGACTGTCCACTGCCACCCACACATGACATAGCACATTCAGTCATGGACAAAGAAGAACTTCTGAGAAGGTCAAACTGGGCAAGGGGGCTGAGTGATATGATGACAGGGTACCTGTCTGAAGAAGCACTGTCTCTTTTGGAAAAGTTCTTTATGCCCAATGCTTCACAAGCAGAGAGCAAAGTCTTCTTTGGAAAATGAAGCAAGGCTGTTTCCTTTACTTGGCTGAGGTTGCTGTGGCAATGACAAGAAAGGGATTGCAGATCTGTCACAATAAGCATGCAAAGGACCTTTTGATATCATCAGAAAGGAAATGACCAATGCATCCTAGCAGATTGGGTCTTGTCCTTCGCTTCTGTGTTCTATTAGGAGATTCTGAACTCCCCAGAGAAATCCTGCTCACTTGCAAAGACAAGGCATTGTTGAACTTGATACAGTGAGTAAAAAGTCATACAAAGAAGGCACATTAACAATGCAATTACTGAGAGACAACTTGACATTATGGACATGGGACACTCAAGGACACAAAGCAGAAACAGGAAAAGGAGGGGAAAATTAACTGTCCTTCCAACTTTTATCTGCCTCATTCCAAAATTTACATGTAGACTATTTGTCATCCATGCTAACCAACAATACTTTCATGTTTCCAATTTATGGCAGGTTACTTCTATTTGAATTTCTATATTTCCTGTATGGGCTTTATGTTTCGTATTAGGTAAGAAGTGCCAGTCAATTTTTAGGGGACTATCTGTTTTCATCTTGAGATGGCCAAAATAGGGATGTGGAAGTTTGGGGTTTTTTTTCTTTTTTGGCAGCACTGGGGTTTGAATTCAGGGCCTCACACTTGCTAGGTAGGCACACTTATCACTTGAGCTGCTCCATCAACATGTTCTTGTCATGGATTTTTTTCACATAGCATCTCCCATATTTGCTGGATTCGAACCGCAGTTCTCCTGATATCTGCCTCCTGAGTAGCTAGGATTACAGACATGAGCCAGCCAGATTTGGAATTTTTATACAATTTATAAATGTTTGGCATAGTACTTCTTAGTACATTGTAGCATTACAAGAGCCAATGTTAAAATTGTTCAATAAAATTGCATATATGATGGTTTGTCCGGGGGGGGAATAAAAGGGATAATTAATTGATTTCACTCATAGGTGTGGTTATTGGCACTTTACAGTTTGCAGCACTTACAAGGCTGTGGTAAAAATGCCTCATGGGTACTGCATGTAAGAATCATGTGTTTCTGGGGAATTGGCGATCGCAGTGTGCACACCTTTGACTATCACTGCAGAAGTGCTCCTTTAGATAAACTTGTGACCCAGTTAACTCTGGATAAGAGCAGAAACAGTTCACATTCCATAATTTGCAACATTACCTGCTGTTTGCTTTCATTACTTTTACTACACATTTTGTTTGTTTTTAAATGATTTATGCAGCTGAAGAGTAAATGTAAAGGTAAAGATGCACTAAAAATGAACCACTTTGTGTTCATTGCTTCTTGGATATCAACCACACTATAAACAAAAAATTCCATGCATTCAACTTTTTAAGATTTTTTTTTAACTTTTGTGATTTTTTTCTGTTTTGATACTTACCAAACATGCATGTGCTGTACAAATAATCAACAGGGAAATAACTTGAGATGATGGCTAGATTTCTTAGTGTCTTATGAAATTTTCATGAGCAATCCAATTATTGGGAACAGACGTATTAAGTTCCTGTAAGTGGAATAAAAGTTTTATGAGTGGACTTTTCAACTACTTTCTCCACAGCTTTTCGTATAAATTAGTGTTCAATTGGAAACTTCCTTAAAGGAAACTTTACATTCTTGGAAACTTATGCCTTATTCCATCTTGGCAGCTAATGGGTTTTCACCAAGTTTAAACACAAAGTTTATCTAAAAATAAAAGTACTACCAATATAACTACCTTTCTAAACTATGTCCCATATTGCAACTTCCCCAAAATGAAAAAGAAAACATTTTCAAGGGTGAGGAACATTGATTGGAAAAAAGTAATGTGTTCCTTTTGAGATTTTGGTAGATGGCATTTTCTAACTTAGGGAGCCACAATGTCCTTGGCCCATCTTGACATTGGGTAGCATTAGCTGTAAGTTCTGTGCTTCCAAATCACATTTTTTAAAGAAATTCTTGATACTCTTAACCTGCCTTTCATTTGGATCCTTCATTCTTTCTATTTGTCAGGTGCACAAGATTACCTTCATTTTTTAGCATTTTGTTTTGTCACCAACCATTCCTACTTGGTGACTATGTACTTTGGAAAAGGCCACATGATCTTTCTGGCACCTCTCAGTCTGCTTCCTTTGATTGCCTCCCACAAACTGCTTCCTTAATCCTCTTTATTGCAGCACACCTCTCCTTATGATGACATTGTG